TGAGGTCAGATCTGGCTGTTTCCTATTGCTTCGAAGCGCCAATCATTGTTCGTAGGTTCAAGTGAAGGAATTGGACGAACGGCATGTTCTGGATAGTATCTGTTGGGCATTGACGATATCGACGACTACGTTTAGGTGCGTACTCGCTGTCCCTTTTTGTTTTTTTGGTTTTTTTTGATTATTTTTGTTTCTTTTATGTGTCTTTGATTTTGTTAGAGTTATTAATTTCTTATTGAGATGTTTGTGTTCTGAGAAAATGTAGGGAATAAAATGCTTTTGAATCTGTATATTTTAGAAATCGATTTCATGTTTGGTATTTTGTTATGTTAGCATTATATAAGTTAATCCGTGAGAATGGAAAACTGGAAAAATGGAATGGCTGCCAGAAGAACCTAGCGTTAAATTTCATTAAATATGGCAGTAAGGATGCAGTTTTCTTTCTTATCTGCACTTTTATGATGTCGAATCTTGTAGTCATGTGTTTTAGTTTACTCCTAAGAATTTGATAGCCAAGAACAATGTGGGAAAAAGCATGGAATTTAATAGTTCATTTGCCTTTATTTTCCCTTCACTTTTATGTTCCGTTGCTGAAAATTCCTACCAAAACCTATATATATATATATATAGTTGCTAATTTTATTCCTCTGCCTTAGGTGTACACCAGAATTGCTAAGTTTACAAGTTTGTATGCCAGTGCTTCCCAATTGATAAATTCAATTGTTTGACACATGGAACTATGTTTATGATAAATTGACTAACCAATAGTTGATCTGGTACCCACTAGAGACTAGAGAGGCTGTAATTACTGCTACAAGATAGTTAAAACTTGATTCTTCTTAGTAACTCTCTCATTGTATAATTTGTTGGTAGAGGAAGTAAACAGAAGGTCCTTGGTTTCACTGGTTTCAAACAATGTTTAATGCTGGGTGATGTTGTTATATCTTAAATTTATTTTTCTGGTCAGAAGAATTTTCTGAAAATCTGAATGGACTCTCAAAATTTCTTTGCTACCTGGAGTTGATTTTCTCATTGTCCACTTGTCAATATATTTATAGTCTGAAGAACGTTGTTTAAATGCAGGCAAATGAAGGGGAGGGATCATTGCCTTGGGAGAAGGACAAGCATGTTTATGATCTAATGGAGAATAACAATTGGGCAGTTTGAGCAAATTGCTTTGAGGAGGTAAGGTATTATATTTTGTATTCTTGTAAATTGTTACTTAATGCATTTCCTCTGGTATAGCTTGATGTTTTCCTATTCCAATTACCTTTTTTATGAAAGAAAGAAATATTCTCTTTTTTTTTTTTTGTTTTGAGGGGGGAGGTCATTTAACAGTACAGTAGTAGTTGCTGCATTCTTAAACTGGTATGTTCTTTACTCTAAGCTTTGACTAGATTGGTTATGCCACAATAACATCTCACGTACAATTTTGCCTTTATAATCTGTGCTGCTGCTTACAATTTTATGCCACTTCGCATGTTTCCCACCTTGACTCGACATAGGATTTTCTATAATGGTTGCTACAAGTAATGATATTGGTTGAAACTTGAAATGTTATCTATGAGACTTTCATTTAAGCCAAATATCCAAACTTTTATTCATTATGTTTTAAGATATTTTTGTTGGGGAGGTAGGGGGTGCTGCATCATCATTAACTGAATTTGCTTCATGTGAAGAAGATTGTGTATGTGGTTTGATTTATTCTGAAATATATATAAGCCATTAATTTTTTTTGCTGATCAATATATAAGCCATTAATTTATTGAGGAGTGTGAGGGCAATGACTTTTTGAGGTCATCACCATCTTGAAATCCCCAAACCATCATGCATTCCACATGTTCAGACAAACCTTCCTTGTGAACCCAAAACCAAAATTATGGATTTCTTCTAATTTTTGTCTGGTAAAGGATCAAATTTTAGTGTCATTTCTCTCAAATTTTATATGATATAACATTATCTTCTTCACTACTGTTTTATAATCCTGATATTATCTGTCTTTTCCTGTCAGGATTGTTGTTTATCTGTACTTCTCTTGGTTCTTACCTTCCTCCAACAACTAGAAGCTGGGAGGGGTTGAAACCTGAGGGAGAGCACTTAGGGGGTATTGGGTATGTACTAAAACAAATTGGCAGTTAACTTTCTTCCTCCAAACTTTTGGCGCACAGGTTTTTTTGGAAGGATAATTCTAAGATTTTAGATTTATGTGTTCACAAACACAAAAGGCAAACTTGGGTAAAAACTGCATGGTATTAGTGAAGGTTGTATGTTGTATCTTCCTCTCAGTTCTACTCGAAGCTGGGAGGGGATGAACATAGGGTTGTCTGTTAGGGTATTTGGTATGAACTAAAACAAATTGTTAGTTAACTTTCTTCCCCCAAAGTTTTTATACAAATTATTTTGGAAGGATAATTCCAAGATTTATGTGTTGGTAAAATCAAATTAGAGTAACGAGTGATATTATTGCAGGTTGGATGTTTCGGAAGGCTGCTTTATAGGACATGAATGATGAATTGAAGATGGTAATGTTGTGTTGCAGCTTGCTTTGTTTTTTCTTCTCATCTCTGTTTTAATGGAGGTGATGGCCTGGGTTTGCTTGGAAATTATAATTTGTGAAGATTAGTTTAGTTTTTTTAACTATTTGGTGTCTCAGAAAACAAATGAAAATATTAATGATAATTAATTGAAATTTTTGTTACATTTTCATCTTATCTTATTAATTAAAAATTAATACAAATAATTTCAATTAACTTCATATTAATGATAAATTAATTATTATAAAAGTAATTAGAATGAAATATATTATGTTTACCAAATACTATAAGGGCATTTTCGTCCATGTTGATTAATATTTTTATCTAAAGCTCTATATTCCAATAATCAAACCAAACATATTATTAAATTAACATATTTCTCATCTTATATGGTACAGTCTAATTTAATGTTTAAAATTATATTCAATCTTATCTAATCTCGTGCTCTAAAGGTGCTCTTAGATGCACAACTTCTTGACAACAGGACCATGTATGGCAGCTCACGAAATATGTAATTATAATTAGGCTAAACTCTCTATTTGCACCCTTCATTTATTTTATTTTCACGGTTAACATTTTACAATATTTTTCCTCCCTATTCAAACCCTCCACTTTTTCAATTTTGTCAAAAACTCAATATTTTAATTGATCGTAATGGAAATGTTAATAACAGTTAAAAATTGTAATACATGACACTAAACAGTAACATGAACGTTATGTCACCTTATTAATTCAATGTGGATTTTTTTTTTTGATGATGTGACATAATTAAATCATAATTAATTTTAATTTCTTCATTTTCTTGTTTCTCGGCATATCTTTACCATCTTCCTCCTCATCCTCTTGGGTTTCTCATGGAACCAGGAACCCAAGTCGTTATGTCACATTTATTAATTTAATGTGGATTTTTTTTTTTATAATGTGTTATATAATTAAATCATAATTAATTTTAATTTCTTCATTTTCTTCTTTCTCGGCATCATCTTCACCATCCTCGTCCTCATCCTCTTGGGTTCCTCACAGAACCTAGGTTCTGAGTTCTTTGTAGAACCTAGGTTCTGAGTTCTTTGTAGAACCTAGTTTCACATGAATGCCTACCAAACTAAGATCTTTATCCACAAAATTATAAATAAATGAATATTGCACAAAAACATGATATGCATCTTCCACCCCTCTCCTAGAAAAAATGAAAAAACCGTTATTGTCATTCATGTTAATCCCACTTGAACTCAAATTGGCAATCTATTCAGAAACAATCTCTAAGCAAAAAAACTCACATTTCCAACAAAAAAATTATTTCAAATTGCTTTGTATAAAATAGAAAACTAAGATAAATACATTCAAATAAAAAAATGAAAAAAAAAGGGTCAAAACCCAAAATTTGAGTTCCCGCGCAAGAACCCAAAAACTGGGTTCCTCGCAGGGAACCCATTAGGAAGAGGATGGTGAAGATGATGCCGAGGATGAGGGGGAAAGAAAAAGATGAAGGAATGCCACATCATCAAAAAAAAAAAAAAATCCACATTGGATTAATAAGGTGACATAACATTCATGTTATTATTTGGTGTCACACATTACAATTTTTAACGGTTATTAACGTTTCCATTACGGTCAGTTAAAATATTATGTTTTTGACAGATTTGAAAAAATGGAGGGTGTGAATAGGGAGAAAAAATATTGTAAAGTGTTAACTTGGAAAATAAAATAAATGGAGCGTGTAAATATGGGGTTTGTCCTGTAATTACCGGTCATTGTAGGTGTTTGATTTCTTAAAACATCGAAGCGGCCAGTACCATCGAGGGATTGTTGTAGAGGAAGACGACGGTCAACAGGGAAAAAATGGTCTACTTGTAGAAATCTTAAAGAACGCTTGGAGTTTGTACTTATAAGATAAACAGTTGCTACCCGTTACGGCCACAATCGTAGTAGCGGCAATGTTCCAAGCCGGATTGAATCCTCCCGCAACTACCTGTAAAAAGGATTCTATCTTGATCACAATCTCTTTAAGCTGGATTGAATCTGCTCTATTGTCTATAAGCATAAATGATTTTTCTCCGTTCGGGTCCTATCCGGTTTTCAGATTCTATTCTTTCATGATATCTAATACCTTTGCCCTTGCTGCCTCTCTTGTCCTCGTACGTACATTTTCGTGCTGACAATGTTCTCCCTTTACAGCTTCCTGGATGCTTAGTTGGCCTTTTGAAGTTCCATTGCTCCACATCCGAGCTTTTTCCCCTTTTTTTTTTTTTGCATATTTTAATGTTCCTTTGTTAATATCTTCTGTTTTGCAAGCCATTGTTTACAATGGGACGTATGGCTGAAGAAAAGTATAAGATTATTTCTAAGCTGAATAATGGATTCTGCAAGTGCAGGAGAGAGTGAATAAGCTGTACTGGAGAATTAAAGCTACTTTTACTTATGGATAGACTGTGCTGTGCGACTATATATGTTGCAATAAATTCAGTTTTGGTGTTCCCTAGAGCAAGCAAGAAGACAAGGAAGCTTAAATCAAGGAAATATTAGGTGAGAAAACTCTGTTTTTCCACTGGTGATTTTCTGTGTAATTTTCTGCTATATAAAGGTAAGGTTATCAAGGAGAGATGGATTAAAAAAAGTGGGGCTAGTGTTATAAAAAGACTAGCCGCTGTGAAAACAGAAGGCATACATTCTTCACAAGCACTCCTTTTGATCATATTTTGCCTAGAGCCTAAGCCTTAGGGTTTTTCTTTGAAAATCAAGGATCAAAGAATGTTGGAGGCTGCAATAATGGGAGATGTTGTAGCATTAGATGATGTTACAGAATATTCATATTCTAATTATGTTGATTGAGTTTACATTATAATTTATTGATATAATTAAGTTAATTGATTTTGTATCATAGAATATTTTATTGTACAGACCTATAAATAAACACTTTATATATTCAGTAAAATTAAAAAAGAAAGAGTTTCTTTCTTCATATATTTTTATATTTTTCTCATTTTTATTTTTTTTTTTATCATGGTATCAAAGCCTTGAGGCTTTTTTTATTGTTACTGTTCATCTCCTTTGTGAGTTGTTGCTTTGCTTGTAGGTGGTGCTGATCATCATCATCTTTGCTTTCTTTCTTGGACTTATTTGCAATTGGGTTTTCTTGATCCTATTCCTTTGTTGTGTCGGCAATACATGTTACTTTCACGACCAGTGTTGCTCCAACCTTCTCGCAAGTCGGATCCAATTGTCGCTGATTTTGCTCACGATTTCCTGTCGTTGATTTTGCTCTTGATTTCTCGCAATTGAACTTTTAACATTACTATTGCCCAAATCTGATATTGCCTCCTCCTCAAACGGCGTCGACTGCACCGATTTACATATTCAGTATGTAGATTTTTTCATTAAAAACTCATTTTCCTAGATGTTTCCATACTCTTCTTTCCAAACTTAAGCTGGTCTCTTCATCACTACCTCGAATTTGAGGGAGAATGTTACAGAATATTTATATTATAATTATGTTGATTGAGTTCATATTATAATTGATTGATATAATTAAGTTAATTAATTTTGTACTATAGAATATTCTCTTATATAAGCCTATAAATAACACATTGTATATTTAGTGAAATTAAAAAAGAATTCTTTCTTTCTTCATATATTTTTATATTTTTCTTCTCTAGATGATTTGTTAAAAGAGGATCCACTTGTTCTCCGGAGAGTGTCTTTGTCATCTAGAGCAGAAACACCACTTCATGTTGCTTCACTCGCCGGCCATGTTGGTTTTGTGAGAAAGATCATGGAGCTGGTGCCTTCATTTGCGCAAGAGCCTCACAAAGATGGTTTTGCCCCAATTTACTTGGCGACAGCTGCAGGGCACTTACAAGTAGTGAGGGAGCTTTTGAACAAGGGGGATTTCGACCTGTGTTTGTTGAAGGACAAAGCAGGGAGAACGCCATTCCACCATGCAGCCATGAAAGGGAGGATCCATATCATAGATGAGTTGCTATCAAAGTGTCCTCATCAAAAAGCCATGGAGCAAGTGACTCCTAATGGTGAAACTGTTCTACACTTGGCAGTGAAGAACAGTCAATTTGAAGCATTCAAAGTCCTGTTTGAAATATCAAAAAAGCTAGAGGATCATCAGAGGCGAGTAAATGCAAAAGATGAGGAAGGTAAAACCGTCTTTGAGATTGCAAATGCAAATGCAACAAATCATGTTCAGGTATCAATATCATTAATTTGCCGCAGTTCTCTTTGTTAATTCAGTTATTAATTTCTTCAGTGCAATTAATTTCCATTTTTTGGATATTGCTGTGCATATTGAATTCAAAGAATGATAGGAGTAAATTGATGAATTGTGGTGAAGATTTTTAAACAGTTCATAGGAAGGCTACTTTAAATTTTGTTTAATTTACATACTGATTTTAATTAAAAAAAATTAGTCACATTCTTTCACTACCATTATAGGTTGCAGATGTGGTTTTTTAATCATATATTAAGCCTTCTCTAAAATATCAATTTTCTAATACTTTTCATTTAGATATATTTTTTTACAATTTTCTGACATGAAAGGAAATTAATTTAAGCAACGCAACTAATATTGCAGCTTACACAAAACATGTGACACCATTGCAGGTGTTAGATTTCCTAAAACACCTAGAAAAAAAGAACATACTTTCAAATCTCTATAGGAGAGTTGGAGTATGTACTCACAGGATGAAGACTTGCTACCCGTTATTGCCACAATGATAGCAGCGGCAACATCCAAGCCGGATTGAATCCTCCCTCATCTATCTGGGAAAAAGGAGTCCATCTTGATAACAAATGCATTATACCTACTCTAAATTACTGACATGTGGGGGATTTTTTTGGGTTAAAATCGTGCCCAGCTTCAAGATTCTATGGTTTCATGCTGTGCAATACGTTTGCCTTTGTTGCCTCCATCGTCCTCATCCCTTTTCGCCAAGATCCAAGGATGGCACTGTTAAAAAATCAAGGATTCCCGAGAAGAAGAAGATGGAATGAAAAACTAAATCTCTCATTAACTGAAAATAATCCAGCCTTTAAATAGGCTTTACAAGATAATATTATCTAAAAAGATAACTAACCAATCTTATCTAATCTAATTTAAATGATAACAACTTAAAACAAATAAATAACTTAAACTTCCTAAAATATAGAGATAATGGCTAAATAATAGGAATTAATTTCCAACAATCCCTCCCTTAAACTGAAAGTCTTCAGACTTTAGTTTAAAGAAATTCTGGATAACACCATATCTACAAATCTGCAATTTGGAATCTGCAGACCCTCCCTCAAACTGAATTTTGCATGCTGCAAACACCAAGTAACTCTCTCAGTTTTGAAAAAGCTGCTACTTTGAGGGGTTTTGTGAATATATCAACCACTTGATCTTCTGTTCTGCAATAAATCAACTCAATTGTTCCATCTTCTACCAAGTTGCGCAAGAAATGATACCTCACATGTATATGCTTGCTTCTCTCATGCAAAACTGGATTTTTAGAAAGCTTGATAGTTGAACTGTTATCACAATAAATTGAAGTGGCCTTATGTTGATCTAGCTCAAGTTCTTCCATAATTCTTCTCAACCAAATAGCTTGACAAGCACAAGAAGTTGTTCCCACATATTCCGCTTCTGTTGTGGACAAAGTCACAATGGGTTGCTTCTTCGAAGACCATGAAATTACACCAGATCCCAATATAAAAACAAACCCAGAAGTGCTTTTTCTGTCATCCAGATCTCTAGCATAATCACTGTCTGTAAAGCTTGCGAGATCTGTCTGGTCACCCTTCTTGTAGAATAGTCCAAAATCTGCAGTTCCACATAAATACTTGAGAATTCTTTTAGCAATCTGCAAGTGCAACTCCTTTGGATGCTCCATATATCTGCTAATCAAACTTACACCATGCATTATATTTGGTCTTGTTGCTGTCAGATACATCAGACTTCCAACAATCTGCTTGTACAGTTTGCTGTCCACAGATCTGCCTCCTGGATCTTTCACGAGCTTTACACCTTTATCAACTGGTGTAGTGACAAAATTGTAGTTCTTCATTTGAAACATGTCCAAAATTTCATGCACATATTTTTTTTGACAAACAAAAATTCCAGAATCTGACTATACTACTTCCAGACCAAGAAAATAATGCAACAAACCCAGATCTATCATTTCAAATTCAAGCTTCATGGACTGCTTGAACTTTTCCAACATGCCAAAATCATTCCTAGTATAAATTAAATCATCAACATATAAGCATACTATAATCAATTTACCTCCATCTCCAAATTTAATGTAAAGTGTATGCTCATAAGGGCACTTTTGAAAACCTTCCTTCAAAAAATAAGCATCAATTCGACCATACCAAGCTCTAGGTGCTTGTTTTAGTCCATATAATGCTCTCTTCAATATGTAAACCTTATGCTTAGAACCAGATTTCATGTAACCAGGAGGTTGATCAATAAATACCTGTTCTTGCATATTTCCATGCTTCACATCATGTTGGTAGATCGACCATGAGTTCTGTGCTGCCAATGCAATCACCAATCTGATGGTATCCATCCTTGCAACTGGAGCAAAAACTTCTTGATAATCAATGCCAAACTCTTACTTGTAACCCTTTGGCACCAAGCGAGCTTTGAATTTGTCAACCGCCCCATTCTCTTTGAGCTTTGTCTTGTAGATCCACTTAAAAATAAGCATCAATTTGACTATACCAAGCTCTAGGTGCTTGTTTTAGTCCATATAATGCTCTTTTCAATCTGTAAACCTTATGCTCAGAACCAGATTTCACATAACCAGGAGGTTGATCAATAAATACCTATTCTTGCAGATTTCCATGCAAGAAGGTAGATTTCACATCAAGCTGGTAGATCGACCATGAGTTTTGTGCTGCCAAAGCAATCACCAATCTGATGGTATCCATCCTTGCAACTGGAGCAAAAACTTCTTGACAATCAATGCTAAACTCTTGCTTGTAACCCTTTGCCACCAAGCGAGCTTTGAATTTGTCAACCACCCCATTCTCTTTGAGCTTTGTCTTGTAGATCCACTTAACACCAATTGTTTTGTGCCCTTTTGGAATATCTGTCAACTCCCAAGTCTGGTTCCCTTCAATAGAACCAATTTCTTCTGCCATGGCTTTTTGCCACTTTTCTTCTTTAACAGCTTCTTCATATGTCAATGGATCACAATCTACAAATAAAGCAAAATGATTAACTGGAACATCATCTTGAGGTAAATCTGTTACCTCATAATCTTCCAACCATGCTGGTCTTCTCTTTTTGCGTTGAGGTCTGGAACTAGTTCCAGATTCCAGTTCTGGTGTTGTTGGCAGACTTCCTCCAATACTGAACTCTACTCCTGTAGGCAGACTTTCTTCAGCTATTTGTCTTGAAACCTCGAGATCTGCTGAAGTTAAATCTCCAGTCTGCTATGTTTGACCTTCTGAGTTCTGCACAGTTAGATCTTCTCCATTTTCGAAATCTGCAGGAATTTGTTGCCCAGATTTTTCTGTCCAAGACCAAGTGCTTACTTCATCAAACACAACATCACGGCTAATGATGACCTTCTTGGTTAAAGGATTGTATAATCTATAAGCTTTGGACTGATCACTAACACCAAGGAAAATACACTTTTCCCCTTTGTCATCAAGCTTACTCCTTTTCTGATTTGGCACATGTGCATATGCTATGCACCCAAAAATTCTGAAGTAATCAATAGCAGGTCTACGTCCACTCCAAGCCTCTTCTGGCGTCAAATTTGGAAGTGGAGATGTGGGACTTCTATTCAAGATATGAACACTCCAATTAACAGCTTCTGGCCAAAACTCCTTAGGCAAGCCGTTCTTTGACATCAGATTTCACACCATATTCATGATTGTGCGATTCCTCCTCTCACATACACCATTCTGCTGAGGTGTATAGGCTGCTGTGAGTTGCCTTTTAATGCCATTGGACTCACAAAAATCTGCAAATTCCTTTGAATTAAACTCACCACCACAATATGTACGCAGAACCTTTACAAATCTGCCCACCTCATTCTCAACCAAGACTTTGAAAATTTTAAAGGCCGCTAAGGCTTCTGACTTGGTCTGCAAAAAATACACCCATGTTTTGCGACTGTAATCATCAACAAAGGTAATAAAGTATTGTTTACCTCCATTGGATGTTGGATTTATGGGTCCACACAGATCAGAATGAACCAAATTTAGCACCTGCTTTGCTCTCCAAGATCTGTCTTTAGGAAAGCTGTCATGATGCTGTTTACTGACCACGTAGATTTCACAAATTTCTGAAGGAGAATCAAAATGAGGAAGACCATTTACCATCTTCTTCTGCTACAAAGCTTTTAACCCACCAAAATAAAGATGTCCAAATCGGCAATGCCATAACCAAGTTGTGTCCTTTAATCTGGCAGATAAACATGACAGATTTGTGGTTTGCAAGTATAATGGAAACAACCTATTTCCCGTCATCTTGACCTTTGCAATCAGGCCAAGTTTTGAATCACGAATTTGGCAAACTCCATCTTTAATAAGGATTTCATATCTTTTTTCCTGAAGCTGTCCCAGACTAAGCAGATTCGACTTCAAATCTGGTACATATAGAACATTAGAAATAGTCTGAATTGAATTGTCTTTGGCACGAATGGTTACCTTTCCCCTTCCCTTGACTGCAATAGTGGAATTATCACCAAATTT